TGTTTCCATATTGAAATGGCAACCACAAGTCTTTTCCTTTATTCCATTCAAAACCACTTTGCATAGTCCAAACAGTTACTGATCCTTACAGCACCCCAGTGGCAAAGGTAGTATTATGCTTTGGTTTCTAAATAGTCATGTGAAAGTTTGTTAATTTGCCTGCCATGGGGAAAAGAAATAGCAATTACAATAAGAGCCCAAAGGCCCCCAAACCAGGTGCTTTGATCAGACTCGGGACACCAACCACTATTTGCTGAACAAATTGAAGTCTTAAATCTTACACTATCTAACCAATATGAATTCTGGCTTCTCCAGCGCTAAGTAATTTTAGTTTCCTCATTTCCCTTTGCTTTCCCTGCCTGGATCTCATGCTATAATTAGCCTCGAGGTTGGAAGAACTGGCTGCAAAGTTCAGTACCAATTCAGAATGTTTTCCATTATTTGACCAAACCTCGAATGCTGAACATTTCTAACATTCAAAGAGGGTTTGTTTAAGTTTTCCAGTTATACCCTCCTGGTTTCAAATGCCACCAGAAACAGAAAGGCCAAAACTCTGAAAGGAGAAACTATTCCAAACAAGCTCTCTGGCCCAAGGCAGGCCTGAAGGGATCCAAATGCATCTGAGAGGGGCAGCCAACCCCCAGTGCCCAGAGAAATGGAGCCTCTGGAACCGGGGCGGTTTGGCCATTAGCAGTGGATCTGAGTTAAGGGCAGGCCCCTTCTTTTGGAGCAAGTAAAGGGCATGACGTCATAAGACAGTGGTTGAAGAGAGGGGCCAGGTATCCCTTGGGGAGAATGACACCCCGTGGCTCGACGGTCAGGCCACTGCAACACCACTGCTGTGTGACCTGTGCTGTGCATCTGGAAGAGCTCACAGGGTTAATGTTTCCAAAGTGCAAACTAGGTGAAAACTGGGAGTCTGATGTCCTTGAAGGAAAAAGGCCTTCTGTTTATGTACACGGGGTCACCAGCTAGACAGATGGAGCACACGGGGAGCCTCTTTGCTTTTTGTGTCAAACCTCAAACTATAAACTGGACCCAAACATGGCACTTGAGATCCAAGTGGCAATCCAAAAAAATGCTACCCTGGCAGACATGAGCTGTGCCTGCTGTGAGTTTCTGCTGTCTAGAAACATCCAGGACTTACAGAAGATGTCAAGTCAACAAAACAAAAGTTTCCAAAATCTCAAAGGAAAAAGACATCTCAGAGAGTACAAACAATTGCCATATTATTCTTTCTTTACTAAATTCCAGCATATGCAAGGCCTCCCTTAGAGCAGTTCTTCTCAAACTTTAATGTGTATTGGAATCACCTGGGTATCTTGTAAAATTACACATTCTAATTCAGGAGGCCTAGAGTGGAGGCCCAAGATGCTAAATCCTAACAGGTTCCCTGGTGATGTCAATGCTGCCGATCCCCGGTCCACCTGCAGAAGGCAGAGCAGTTTAAACTCTTCCATTTGGAACAATTATCATTAGCAGTTCTTCCCATCGGTAGGTAGCGTCCAAGTGCCGGGTTGCTCCCAGTGCCTGCCTTTTTCCTTTCTATTTTCCTTTTGAAATCTGATTTTCCCACAGAACAATACATCTTCATCTATGGAAGGTTAAGAAATAAATGCTGAAATTCATCCTTGGCTATTAAAAAAATGGTATATGGTGGCTTTTTTTATCTAGAGAAGCAAGAAATTTGTGCAAAAACAGGGCTATTTTGTTGTGTGGGTGCCATCCCTGGTATCCAGGAAGGATCTTTAACAGCTGGGCCTCTGGAGCACTCCAGTTCTTTCAAACCATTGCATTTGCCAAGAGCAGGTCATGTTCATTCCACAAAGCTTCGAGGTCTATATGCCAGGTTAAAAAGTCATCCCTGAGCTCACTGTTGGCACAGCATGGAAGTTTCGGGAAAACACCTCTCTTAGAAAATAAAGATTTAGAATAGCTGGGCATCCTGGTGGGCACTTGTACTCCCAGCTATTCGGGAGGCTGAGGCAAAAGGATCCTTTGAGCCCAAGAGTTTGAGGTTTCTGTGAGCTATGATGCCATGGCACTTTACTGAGGGCGACAAAATAAAACTCTGTCTAAAAAAAAAAAAAAAGGAAAAGAAAGACAATAAAGGTTTAGGAAAGAATGGAAATCTATGCCACACAGAGATAACTGAGGAGCACTGTCCTTTTGGGATGTTAGACTGTCATCCAATGTGGACGGTCCACTTTTGCTTCCATTTTCTGGCCAGAGAATCTACTTTATAATAGACACACAGGGTTCAGGGACAGCACACAGTAGTCATGTAATGCAAATGCCTAAGAGAGAATGTTTTAATTGGATTAGACTGCTCACAGACGTCTATGCATTAATTACAGAGTTACGCAACTATGCATCTTTCAGCCTTTGCTGGAATTTTTATAGGGCCATTAAAAAAGACTCCTGAGAGTATTCTCCCCCTTCGGCCCATAGCGGCATTTAGAAGCTGTAGCCAATCTGAGTGAGGATGAAACTGTCATTCAGCTGCTTGGCAAAGCCTCAGTCCGCTTGGGTACAGTTCTCAAACCAGCAGCCCAGAGTTTGAGTCACTTGCAGGAACTAGGACAGACGGTGAGGGTCAATGCACAAACGTGAAGAATCCTCAACAGTTCTAGGTAAGATAGGATTAAGTATTTCTCTAGGCGGTTCATTGATGACAGACGTGCCTTTTTGTCTTGGGCTCCTAGGGAAGTGGTAAAGCCAAGTTCACCAGCAGCTGGCTGAGACTTCACTTATTGTCGTGCCCAGAAAAGCCGCGACTGTTGCCTCACAGAGCTGGGAGGTTACGCCGCTGCCGCAGAGGCAGTTAACCCCACCAGGGAAAGCAGTCAGAGCCAGCTTGCAGGCCTTTCTACTCTGCCCCCTGGTGCTCCGTTGAAACCCCAGCCCAGAAGGTGACAGCACAAGGTGAGGCTTCAGCAAGTCCCGGCCTTAGAGCAGTCTTTAAACCCTAACCCATCCTACCTACAAAGACCCCACTAGCCAAAATATAGATCTGGCTATAGCTAGGCCCACAGAGAAAAGCTGAGAATCTGGGCAGTTAGCTGATACTTCCAAGCCCTCCCCTAAAGCATCTGGACACCTAAGGGTAAAAGCATCCAGGGAGTTTCTAAAATGAAATATCTGAAGGATTAATCTCCATCGCCTCTCGAATTGCTAAGTCATTATTAAGTCTGAGTCGACTCTGCTGTGGCAGCTGCACGCTACAGCCCTCGGCTCTTAGAACCTTTCCAAGGACTATTCAGTGTGGAAGAGAAAAAAAGAACCTATTTGGGGTTTAACCGGGGCTTGACTTTATTAGAGAGAGTGCTAGCACGGGAGCATAATGTTAATTATGTTAACACGGGATGTGCACGGAGAAGCGATGTGAAGTGTGCTTGGACAGTAATACGCTTCATAAAAGAAATACAGCCATTATTATTCTCTTAAACCCCTGCTAAGTGTCAACATATGGCAAGTTAACTTCTCCCAAGTCTAAGAGAAAGCAGTCTCTTAAGTTTCAATTCCTGCTTTAGTCAAAACAAGAGTAAGTAAAAATTGTATCTATTCCTTTTGAAAGAACTGTGCCATTGAGGGTAATACTGTCGTGCATCTTTGTGTGTGCAAAATTAAGTGCATTAAAAAAAAAAAAAAAACCTGATAGTGTATTCTGATAGTTCAAACTTTCCAAAGTGCCTTTGCCCATTTTTGCAGCTTAAAATCCAGGCTTGGCATTTAAAGCCATCATCACACGGCTTCTCTGGCGTGTGTGCGTTGAAACTTCACGTGTACAGAGTGCCGTGGAGTGCCTATGTAGCATGGACCGAAATAAATAAGGTAGTTAATAGGAAAAGAAAATCTTTCTTAATTTTCAAACTACAAAAAGAATGGCATTTTATTTGTCAGCAGGTAAAACCAACAGGCAGGAAAAAGAATGGTTTGCAAAACCAAATGCAAAATTATCCCGTTTTTAGTCCCACAAACAGGCATGTCTTCCTAAGGTAGACAGGGGATGCGCTGTGTCATACTCACAAGTCGGCCCCAGGAGAAAGGGTTTGCCATAAAGAAGCATCTCCTGGTCCCCCTGTTGATCGTGAACTCTTAGTGGGCTAAAGGTCTAGTTTTATCCACAGGTGTCAATTAGCCTACAGATTGGGATTGAACTAGAGAAAGGCAGTAAGCAAACCTTCCTAGGCGAAAGCAAAAATAAACAGTTGCGGAGTAACCTCTGCGTTTTCCCAACTTACAGAAATTCTCCTTTCTTTGTCTTCCACGAGCTTCCTAATTGGAGTGGGTATGTGTTTAGAGAGCACTGTGATTTTTCTCCCTTTACTGAGATGTGTACTAAAGATGTCCATTCAGGGAGAATAAAACCACATAATTTGGGTTTTATTAACATGCTTTTTTTTTTTTAATTTCAAACTAAAATGCTTTCCTTTTCCCAGGCTTTAAAACACCAGTGGTAAATTGTCAGACCCTTTTAGGGTCAGACTCTCACCAAAACATTCCCGTTTATTTATTTTCCCTTTTATAGTTTTGCTTATGCCATTGTAGTCTTTACCAAGGGCTGAGCTCTCCTTGAGCTGATGCCTGGCTTTTTAAATGACGGGGTCCACATCCTGCCCAAGCAGCAGTTCGATGCCAGCGTTGAATTACTATTGAATAAGCAGCAACGAATTCTTTATCAAAATAATCAGTAGTTCCAAAAACCACAAGTAACAACAACAGGAGCCGAGTTGTACTAAATCAGCAAAGACCATTGAGATATAATAAGAGAGTGAGTCACTTTTTTCTACATTCTCCTCTCTTGCAAACTCTCCTGGGCTATTTTCTTGCACGGCCTGGGGGAGGGCAGGTGGAGGGAAGGAAGGGCATTGCTCAGAAAGAAAAAAAAATTGCCATCCCTGATGTCATGTGACCCTCAAGAGCCAATGGAGATGGGCGGTGGAAAGGGGAACAGTTAAATTTGTAATTTGGGTTGTGTGAAAACTTCTTTGGGCCTCATAAACAACCACAGAACCACAAGTTGGGTAGCCTGGCAGTGTCAGAAGTCTGAGCCCGGCATAGTGGTCAGCAGGCAGGACGAATCACACTGAATGCAAACCACAGGGTTTCGCAGAGTGGTGAAGCATCGTCAGCCCACAGCCGAGGCGCTCTGCTGGTTTTTTTTTTTTTTTCCTTAATCTTTAACAATTTGAATATTTGTTTTCACAAAGGTACATTTTTTTCCTAGGGCCTGGGGAGTCCCAGAGGTGGGGGGGGAGGGCAAGAGAGATGCAGGGCTGTGGGGGTGAAGTGAAAACAGTGACCTTTCTTGGTTTTCGCTCCTAAGGTAAAAGAAATCATTGAGTCCCCCGCCTTCAGAAGAGGGTGCCTTTTCAGGAGGAAGCGATGGCTTCAGACAGCATATTTGAGTCATTTCCTTCATACCCACAGTGCTTCATGAGAGGTGAGTACGCGCTGGTCTTTTAATGTCTCCTTCTGCTCGGCTTTGCGTGTAATGAGACGGGAGCCTGGTTCGCCCCGGTGCAGAGAGGTCCCTCGGTGCCTGCCGGTCCCCTGTCTGTTTTGTGGGCGATTTCAAAGTGAGGCGTATGATTACAAGGCTATTGGGTTACTTATTCATCAGATGGCAGCTCTTCAGAAATGTTTTCATAAATAGTCAGTTAAGCTGTTGGAGCACTGCGTCGGTGCGTGAGAACCTTGTCAAGTCTTAGTAAGTTGTGCTGGTCTCATTTAAAGTCCTAGAGATTGGAAAGCTTGCATGAAGCTCCCTGGGTTTTATTTTGCCGTCCCTTGCCCAGAGTGACTGTGTCTGAATTATCCTTTACTCAGCATGCTGTGTGGCCCAGAATGCAGCCTGCCCTGGGGCTCGGCAGACACTCGCAGGGAGCCAGGAGGGCTGGTGCCAGCGTGGGGTGGGGGCAGGAGGCGGGGGCTCACTGCTGCACCTTCCACCAGCCCCGGACCGACCACAGGGTCAAAGTGGCCACGTCTCCAAAAGGCAGAGAGTGCAGGAGCTGGGCAGACTCGGTTAGGTGAAAAATCATCAGGATGAGGCTGTGTTGTGCTTTTCCTTGTAGCCTCAAAGCCAAGAGGCAACTGGCATCTTTCAAGAGAGCAAGCAAGCAGGTTGCAGCATAGAGAGGTCCCTCTTGAAAAGAATGATGAAGTTTCCTAAGTCAAGCATTCTCATAGCTTAAGTCATTAGAGAGCAGATTTACAGATAGGAACAGCTAAGGTGGAAAACCTGTCTACATTTTTGCAACCAGCCTCTTGAAATGTGCAGAGCTGTGGTTGAGCCCTGAGTCTGTGTGGGAGTGTGGGTGTGTGTGTGCCCACACGCACACACGCGTGTGTCTTTTGTGTATCTTTAGCAGTAAAGAGGGCCATGCTTAAACCAACAAAATAACATGAAAATGTCAGGACGGCACAGCAGTGTGTCAGGGCTCACACTCTGACCGGTGCCCAAGAAGTGTGGTCTGATGGCTTGGCAGAGCTGGGCTGCAGTGGGGTGCGATGGGGGAATAATTAATTTTCTTCCTACAAACTCTCTCGAGCACCCAAATAGTATCTGTGACTCATTATTTATTCCTACAGCCAAGTGAGCAGGGGAATGCAGAGGCTTGCCAGCCACTTTGTCGCAACAAATGCTATTGTGAATGCACAGAGCTCCTGTGTTTCTGTGTCAGTCCCCCAAATTTAAAAATTTGACAAAGATGTGTGTCTGTGTGTGTTGGGGGTTGTTGGGGAAGATTTAAGGACAACGGGAAGAAAGCAAGTCATTACTACCAACTCCAAGCTTCACATGAAAGCGTTTCCAAGTGCTTCTTTACTGGCAGCCGAGGGAATTTCAGTGAAGTTGAATCACGGGGACACGTGTGAGTCACTCATCTCTCGGCACCCTTGGGCTGGTGCAGCAGAGACACTGGCCACTGGTGAGAGGCTGCAAACTGCTGCCGGCTGCCTTTGCTCTGGGCTGCTAGCAGGCGGAGGAAGCAATATGTGTAGAATAACAGAGAAAAGGCCTTCCTGCCTTTACTCTGCTTTCAATTCCCCCCTCCGAACATGGATTGTTTCCTATTTTATCAACCCAGGAAGGCAAATTCAGGAAATTTTTAAACATTCGGTGTGTAGTGCTGGCCTTTGGAGCTGTCCTTACTGGCCAACAGCAAAGACAGTGAGAGGCCACGGTGACATGTGCAGGCTCCAGGAAGTGAAAGGAGCCAGCCCCTAACAGAGCCCCACAGCTTCAATCTGCCTGCCGCAGGTGTCCCGGGGCCGGTCTGGAGTGGGCCCTTGCTCTCACCAACACTCAGAAGAGCTCTTTGGAAAGGCCTGTTTCCCTCCTTCCCCTCAACCAAGGGAACTCAGGGCCCTCCAGAACCTCTAACTGGATAGTGTACGTATAATACTGAGATCGAATCTCAGAGGGCCGTGTGAAATTTGCCAGTTTCATTGTTGGTTCCATCCAGGTTGGTTCCATCCAGGTTGGTTCCATCCACATAGAGGTTTAAATTGTCCAGATTAACTGTCCTCATCACTCATCCGGGCCAGAAGTGTGGCAAAATATCATTCCATTTGGTACCATGTGGACATTGCCTGATAGTACAAGAGTCACCATTGTCACCAGCAAACTGCCGCCTCCCCCCACCCCTAGGTGTTACCCTGTTCCCACAGCCGGGCCACTCGCAGTGGTCAGTGCGGTCATCTGTCTCTGCCTGTAATTTATGGCCTGCGTTCCCTCCCTAACTGTCAGTTAGGAGCTGAAGGGGAAGGCAGCGTCTTGTTTTCTTCCTGGGATGGGACTTTATCAGTCGGTTCAATTCTCACAGAAGGAAACCCGTAACTTGTTTTTAGCCAGATACCCATGTGGAAATTGGAGGAAAAGAGGGGAGTGGAACCAAGCAAGCCATTGTTCCCTTCCTTGTGAGTGGCAGGCCAGAGTCCGCGAGACCGGTACTCGAAATGAATGTGGTCTACCACGGAGAACACAGCCCTCTCTCTATCACATGGCACCAGGTTCTCGTTTCATTTGCTTAGACAAAAAATTATGAAAGTGTAAAATGCAATTGAACTTCTCTGGAATTATCACAGGTGGTTTGCAACATAGAATTCTCGCCAAACCCAAACTTTGATCCCCCCCAAAAGGTGCAAGGTGCTGGCAAAAAGCACCTAAGCAGACGTGGAGAGGAAGAGCTCGGCAGGCACAGATTTGTGCAGAACGCCTCAGGTAGCCTTGTTCTTAGAAGTGGCTTAGTGGTCTGCGCAAAGCCTGAGCACTCACATGCCTCTGCGTTCCTAGAACCACAGGTAAAAAAATCACGGCGAGACTGACTCCCAGCTTTCAGGGGAGTCTTTCAAAGGGGATTGCGCCGCACCAGGCCGCGCCTCTGAAGGGTGCTTTTCTGGAAGCATCAGTCTGCCACTCTTTTCAGAAAAATATTTATGAAGATACTTCTTCTGGCTTGACGGGAGATTTCAGATCACAGAAAGCCGTAGATTGAACTATCTGTGGCGTCAGTCACGGTGTGGAAACTGTATTATTTTTCTAGGGCTGCCATAACAAAATACCACAGACTGGGTGGCTCAAACAGAACTTTGTTTTCTCACAGCGCTGGAGGCTGGAAGTCTGAGATCAAGGTGTTAGCGAGACTGACAGGTTCCTGGTGAGGCCTCCCTCCTTAGCTTGGGGATGGCTTTCTTCTCTCACGGTCATCCCTGAGTGTGTCTGCAGCCTAATCTCCCCTTCTTAGAAGGACACCAGTCAGACCTCAGATTGTATTAGGGCTTATCCTAAAGATTTCATTCTACTGTAATTGCCTCATTAAAAATGCTGTGTCCAAATACAGTTGCATATGAATCTGGGTGGGAGCAGGGGGCACAGCTCAGCCCCTAATGATGTGTCTTAACCCATCTGACTCATCCTGCCCTCCTAAGAAAGCCGGGGACAAGGCATCCCTCCTGGTTGTTGAAGAATCAGACCCTAGTTCCTCCTTTGTGAGATGGAGTTTCACATCTGAAACTGTCCACACATTGTGAAACTATGAAAAAAAAAAAGGTGTTAAAAACTATTTAAATTTATAATCATGTCTTTGCCATCTAGTCTCTTTGCACGCTAAGAAAATTTTGAAAAATGACAAAGTAATTTCCAAATGTTCATGTTTTAAAAGAACAAAAAGCAGTCCCCCCACCAAGAAAGCACCTCGTTGGCTCTGCTTCCTGGGGCAGTATTGTCCCTCTGTGTCAGACTAGATTCACCCAGGAGCTCAAATTACTGACTTGAATCAGGGAGGCTTGTGCAGGAGGCCCCACAGGTGCTAACCCACTGAGCACAGGAGCAAGGAGCAACCTGTAACAGAAGCACCTTCAGAACAGCAGCCAACCCCGGATCTCAATGACAAGAAGCCTTTTAGAGATTTGGGGAGTCAATGAGAGTAGTGGGGAGATTCCTCCATTTTCTTGAAATAGAAGATGGGCTCAGCAAAGATGTGGCCCTTTACTGAGGTGGGACACTGGAGCAGAGGAGGTCTGCACGGCTGCCGCACACTCAGGCTGTAAAGGAGAGCCCAGGGCCTGGGGGGGGCGAGCCTGGGCAGGTGCAAGGGCCCCTCCTGCTAGAACAGGCAGTAGGAGGAGGTCTGAGTGCAGAGCGTGCTCTGACGACAACGTGGTGGCCTTTTATTTCTTCTTTCTGGCTTTAGTCAAATGGCATGCAGCACTTCTCTCTTGACCATCAGTTTCCTCATCTGCAAAGTAAGGACAGCAGCAGCGCCTACGTTCAGGCAACTATGAGACAGAATTAAATGATGTGTGCAAGGCACTTAGCCCGGCCATGAAAAGCAAACAGGAAATGTTAACTGTGGCCACCAATGTTCAGTTACCAAAGATGGCAGTTGGCTAACCTCTGTCTGCTCTAGGACATCACAAGAGGCTCCCTGAAGAAAGTGACGGGGAAGGTGGGCAGGAGAAGAGAAGAAAGAAGGGTGGTCTGGGCCCTAGGCGCAGCTTGTCAAAGGTTGAGCTACAGGATCCTGCAAGCGGCATGGAGGCCAGGAGCCTGGAGGGAGTCGGTCTGCCTATTGGCTTTTTAGCAACAGGGCAGCGCTCCTTTCCTTGTAAGGACCCACAAAGAGAGTGGTGGACAGAGAGTGGGAGCTTGACCAGTGGACCTTATTGGCTAATTGGGTCACGCTGTAAGTCTCAAGTCTGGTGTGAACTCAGAGGGACAGCAGGGACGTCCCTGCTCACTGAGAACTGCTGCTGTAGCTTTAATTTCTCAAAGGCACTTAAAGAAAAAGCCATTTTCCCCAGGTTTGGGGGATCTGAGAGATGCCCCCACTTGTTAGCGACATTTGTGATCCTGCACTTTATCAAAGCCCAGAAGTGGAGGCAGCTTCTGTTGCTTGTCTAGTTGGGGGCAGGAGGGGCGGCCCACGCAGGAAACTC